GGGGGGGGGTTTGAAAACGCGTTTCTCTCGTTGTTCACGACTGCATCCCTAACGCGGATAAGAAATCCCCGCATCTCCCTATTACGTTCCGAATACGACATTCCATTGTCAAATGTAAAATGGTATTTTTGGCCTTAAGGCTACAGCCTTGCTCCTATTTTTGCCTCAGCAAACATTATTTTGTATGAAAATTTCGTTAGTAAGCAGTTAATCAACTACTCCATCCATTTCAGTTTATCTGAATAATAATTTTCTTAATTCGTTTAGAAAAAATGATAGTTGTTTTAAAAATAATTTAACTTAATTTTTTATTTTATTCTTAATGATTTTGTTTTTGTAATTACATATATATTAGCATATTTAAAATCACAAATTTTAAAAGTATTATATAGCTACAAAAAATTATGATATATTTAAAGTTACAAATTGTATGATGTTCCTTTTTTTCTTAAATTTCATGTAAAGAAACTATATGTCACATAAGTAAAACGAGTGGGTATATATTTCCTTTTGGTTTGATATTTAATCATCTATGCAAATCTTTTTTTATTTTTTAAGTCCAGTGTAGAATTAAACATCATCACATAAATGAAACGTAATACATTATTTTTCATAAAAGACCAACCCTAAGAAAATGAACATTAATGATCTACGATTTTCTGGAGTTGAACACCTGACTTATCTAGAAGGAAGATCAGTCAATTTCTCAGATATTGTAAAAACTTATCTCTCTCACTTAATTCTCTTTTACGTGTAAGTAGGACCGTTTGGCCATAGATTTTGTCAAAATAAATTTCGATTTTATTTGTCAAATACATGTTTGACCATAGATTTTGCCTACATTTTGGTAAAATCTCAATCCCACAAGCAGTTCAGTAGGTGGTTTTGAGCCAAAATATTAGTATTACATTTTTTAAAAATTGCCCCAAACTTTTATATTTTATAAAAGAGCCCACCATTTATTATTTATACCAATATTGTTTCGTCTTCTCGGTCATCTAATAGTGTATCATGTAGATCTTTATAAAAATAATAATTTGGTACCAAATTTATTTATGTTCAGGACTGAGGTTTGGTAAAATATAATGAATGTTGTTGATAATGGTACTGTTAGGTATTTGTGATAGTTTTTAAGGGTATAAGTCATGTTTCATGTTTTTCCAAAATAAATTTGGAAATATATTTTGAAAACTAATGTCTAAACGCATTTTCATCTTCAAACCAAACTTCACCCAAATCAGATTTTGTCAAAACAAATTTGGGAATTTAGCTAAACGCTAGCGTAGTTTATGCTTGAATAAAACAGTTTATTTAAGGATTATAAAGAGAGGATTAATTTTTCTAACTGAAAAGATTTCATTTATATATTTCATATATTCCATAAAGTAGGTAATAATTAAGTGAACAACTTCTTAAATAAATAGACCCCAAATATAAATGTAGCTTTTATAAAGCCTTACCACATGAGCAATACCTTTTAAAATACTTATTAAGAAAATGAACCACACCCTACGTGTCCTTTCTTTATTCTCTTCAACAACTCCACTTGTATGCTTCCTCCTATTCTTCCTAGCTAGTTCCTTCCCCACGTCACCATCACCCTACCCACCCACACCCCCCCCACCCCCCCGGGAAAAAAACTCCCCAACCCCAACAACTATATATACACACGGAACACAGACACAAAATATCAAGTAAAAACTTCCTTGCTATATACCAGTTAACATCTTTCCAAAGAAGAATATAATATCATATCTTCATTGATCTTTAGCTTGTTCTTATCTTCATCTTTTCAACATGAATAGCTACGACCAAAACCAGGCTCAAGGTGCGCTTTTTCCCCTTATAATTTTTGTTCTTATGGCTGTTTAATTATGTTTGTTTGATGAAGATTATAATATATTTTCTTTTTTGGGTATTTGCAGCAACTGCGTACACTCAACAGCAGCAACCACAGGGTGGTGCTTTAGTGGCTCCACCGCCACCGGCTGGTTATCCAACCAGAGATGTTGAAGGTGATTCCTCTGTTCCAGTTACTACTCAATCCAGAGGTGATGGCTTCTGGAAAGGCTGGTTAGTATTCTTTAAAAAACCCTAATTTTATTTCTATTTTTATCTTTTTCCCATTTATGAAATTTGTTTGATTTCCAATACTCATAAATAATTAAGGATACCTTAAAAGTTGAATAAACTTAAAGTTTGTAGAGAAGTCAAGGTAATATCATTTTTGCATGTGCTTAATTTTTCCATATGAGAATATATAATTGGGTTTATATAATTCAGAAGTTTTTGAATTGTCGGGGAAATTAATTGTTTACTGGCCATTACAAAAGTTCTTTATTTAGTTATGTGCGGTTTTCCACAAAAGATTGTTAAATAAAATACAAATGGTTAGCAAATTAAACACAGTATTTTTATACGATGGTTTTCTTCTATTCAAATAGCAATTACTCATAGATCATTTTTTCTCAAAATTGCTCATATGTTTCACTATCATGAGGACAAAGAAAGAAGATAAGAAATGATTCATATTCTCTTTTCATGTCAACAAACCTATTTTGATTAGATCTTTCTACTATGCACCAAGTTGATTTTCACATGCGATTAAAATAATACAGCTTTAATAGCTTGTTTGGCCAAGTTTTTCTTTTTTTTTTTGGTCAAAAATATTTTTTTTCCAAAGTTAAGGTATTTAGCCAAGCCTTTAGAAGGAAAAAAAATAATTTTGAGTAGAAGCAGATACAATTTTTGAGATGCAGAAAAAGTAATTTCTTTTCCAAAAACACTTTTTTGAAAAGGACTACTTTTACAGTTTGGCCAAAACACTAATTGTTGCCCGAAAAAAAAATTCAAATTAATTATTCAAACACAAATTATAAAAAAATATTTTTCAAAACAAGCTGATTTAGAAGTTTGGCCAAATAGACTAGCCAGAGGGAAGGAGAAATTTTAATATTATGTCATATTCAACTATTAAAGGCCAGGAGAAGGCTTATTTCTTAGAATTCTATCTTTCGCTCCTCCATTTCAATTCTGATTAATTAGCTTCTTTCTTCGCACAGCTTGTAATGTAGTGCTAACTATTTTTATGCGTTTGTTGCAGTTGTGCTGCCTTGTGTTGTTGCTGTGTCTTGGATGCTTGTTTCTAATGAGTAACGCCAGCTTAATTAATTCCCTTTGTGTGGATTTACTTTTATTCGTTGTAACGTTATGTTTATACATATCCTTGTTGGCTTTTCCAATTTTCTTGATGATGTAAAAGACGGTGCGATCTGTATTTTGGAATTTGATTCTATATTCCTTTGATGACATTCGTTAAACATATGTGTTTGAGATATTGTTAATTAATTAATATTCTTGGTTGTTTAGTGCTCAACTGCTTGCCAACGTAGGCGGATGTAGTGTACTATCTACCGGTTCAACTGAACCCATAATTTGATGCGAAGTAAAAATTTATTAAAATTGCAAAAATAGTATATATGAAATTATAATTTTAAAGATATAATGGGTTCATTGTTAAAAATCATAAAATTGAACCCATAAAATTTAAATCCTGGATCCGCCTATACTTGCCAATTGTCTTAATTGTCACGTCATTGTTCTTATCTAGTGATCGTCACAAAAGGGATATTGCCACCACTTGATAGCAACTGGTTAGGTCAAGTAGGCCAATTGGCCAAACGAAAATGTGTCACGTATTTTATGCTTAATTTAATCAAACCATACTTGTGGTGACTATTTTTAGGTGTCGTTTGGTCGTTGGACTATTTTTACAGTGATTTGATTTAGAAGGATTGATTAGTCTAAAATTCTATCATATAATATTAATAGCCCGTTTGGCCAAGCTGATTTTGCAGCTTATTTTGAGATGCGCTTTTTTTCAAAATGCTTTTCTCAAATGTACTTTTGGTGAGAAGCAGTTTGTGTTTGGCTAATTAGTTTGAAAAGCACTTCTGAGCAGCAATTAGTGTTTGACCAAGCTTTAAAAAACTGCTTTTAAATATATTTTTCTCAAAAGTGCTTCTCAAAAAAGTGCTTTTGGAGAGAAGCTATTTTTTTCTGCTTCCCTCAAAAGCACTTTTTTTCCTTCAAAAAGCTTGGCCAAACACCTCAATTTTTGGCCAAAAGTGCTTTTGACAAAAAAAAAAGCACTTTTGGCCAAAAGGAAGCTTGACCAAATAGGCTATAAGTTTGTCTAGAGGTATAAGAAAAATTAATTATTCTATAACTTATACGACATTTTTATTCTTTTTTTCTTTTTTCTTTCATGTACCTTATACAACATATGGTATGGCGTATAAAGAAAATATTTCTTGATATATTTTACTAGCGGTATTGAACTAAATAATTAATATTTTATTAAGTTATGTGAAAATGTTTTATGAATGATTGAATGTGGAATAAGAATATACTCCACTAATCTATATCTATATTATTATAAAAGCATGAATATAATGTTGGTTTACCAAAATAGCCTTAGAATATTAAATAATTTTGGACAATATTGTAATATTATAATTTGTCCTGATCTAGATTCGCATGGAGTCCTAATTCTAATCAAGTTTAAACTTATTCATAATATGTCCCCACTATGCTTTGAAGTTCCAAAACTTACCAATTCCAGAGACCAAAAGAAATCTTTAATTTGAACCGATTCGTTGCCTCAATTCTTTAACAAGGCTTTGTACTGGCAGCACTAAAATTAACTTTATAGAGGTAATTTAATTTTATTCATCATATGAATTCTTTCTCTAAAATTTATTCTGTGCATCTATCTCAAATCTCAATGAAGAATAAACTATCCCATAATTATTTCATGCTACCCTTATTTTATTAGAAAAAAAAGAGCGTCTTTCAATAAAAAAGGATGCAACTTAATGAAATACATATGGGAAGTCTTTGGTTACGTTGCCGGTTGTCGGTCGCCCAATTGCATTCTTTTATGTATATTAGTTTGTATCAGCCATTACTGTGCTCCAAGTCAAGTTTATTTAAAATAGAAAAACTCTTTCATGCTCCATCCGTTTTCTTCAATAACAAAAGTTATTTGTTTGATGTAATTTGTATTATGAGACTATCATATCTTTATCCATTTTTTTTAAATTCTTGTAGATGAATAGAGAACACGTAACCTAATTAGCAAATCTTTTCTCCCATATAAGTTAATTAGCAATTTGATTATGCCTTTCTAATAACTTCTAAGAAATATTTTTCCTATCATAAAATTAATTCAAAAAACTACAAAAGTGAATCGATAATTGCGGGAAAAATAGTATTTGTCTTTTCTTTTGTCGGTCTAAAGGGTGTTCAAATATTTTTGTTGTTGAGCTTTGAATAAAGTTGTTTCTAGAAAGAAAAAATCCAATCTACCATTTTTTGTATTTATATTTCTTTCGCTTCATGTTGCTATTGTTAAAGATGGTTTCTGTGATAATATGTTCTGTTTTTTATGTTTTTCTTTTGTCTAGATGTGTGATGGTTTAAATTGAATAAAGTGAAAATTTTAATTTTACATGTGGAGTTTTCGCTCTACCTTTTAACGACGACTATAATCTATTTCCACAATAATTCAGAAAATGGACAATACTGTAATTTGGAATTAGTTGTAATGGATAGTATGGGAATCAAATATTTTTGTTACTCAAAGGTTCTCCAATGCATCAAAAATTTTGTTGGCAGACTTTCGAGATGAACAAAATCTGATACTAGCTAGGCTAATGACAATATGACATGGTTTCCTCATTCTCAGATATTTATATCAAATAATTAAAGAACAAGTAAGAAAATATTTAAGAATATAAATATGTGAGAAAGAGAAAGAAGAAAGGTTGGTAAGAGTCAACACTTCTAATGATTCTGCAAGCATAATGATCGAAAAGTAAAATGTCAAATCGATCTTTTTACTCTTTAAAAATAAAAAATTGGTGGATAAAATTATATTACGATTAAATATTCAAAACAAGCAATGAACTAATATTAAGAATCTGAATCAACATAAAATAAATTATTTAACACCAAATAATTAAATCTTTCAATTAATTATTCCGCAAGAGAATCCAATTCAATTATTTTTTAAATTCATCTTATGAGTAAAATTATTTTTCAAGTTAAAACAAAATCTTAGGGTACATAAATTTATTCCATAAATAGAGCGTTAGAGATTAAAAAAATTAGAACACAAAGTAAAAAGGGTTAGTATAGTATTAAGAATCAAAAGGCCATACAAGTGTCTGAGGAAGCACAATCAAAGTTAAATTCTGAACATGAATAAGCTTCAAGACCATATTATAAAGAGACGACTATGGTATAACGGGATTATCACTTGTAGATTCCTCTGACGGAATCGAAATAATATTGACATGTCAAGCATTACTTGCAAATGTTAGATCAAGAGGTATACAACTCACTCTAGATTTGATATACCTTTAGAGTTGAGGTCATACAACTCACTTTAGATTTGATATATCTTTTCAAACAATTTAAATAATCATCACAAATATATCAAAACAGAGCAATGGTGTTAAATTTATAAGGAAAGTAAAATTTATAATATGGAATAAAACGGTTATGGCTAAGCATCGAATGATCGAAATAAGGAGTTTTAGAGATATATTGGATATCAATGAACATTTGGTGAAAAGGTAATAGTTTAGGAGGTGATTTCTGTCAAGTACTACTAATAGATCCAAAATTGACGAAAGCAGAGATTGTAAAAGCTAGCTTGCCAAAATCATGTTTATGGCCTCAAATGAAAATGATTCGATTGACAAAAAAATAAAAGTAAGAACAGATCCAGAATTCAGTGACTTTTTGCTTCGTCTCCGAAACGAAGTAGAGCATATAATAAGAGATGATTTGGTTCTTCCAGATCACTTAGTTATCAATCTAATAGTAGTGAATTTAATAGGGGAATATTTCCATCATGAGATTAAAATGCAATTTGTGCAAATCACATAATAGAAATTAAAGAGCTATCTTTGCTAGCAGAAATTAATATGTTGATCAACTAAATAAAAGGTTGATTACTAAGTTTTATGGTAAAAATATTTTTTTTTTGTAATTTTTGACTCAGCAGAATATGATACTAATAATTACTACCTCGAAGAATACTTAAAACTTTAACACCAAATGGCCTTCTATCATACATGTTTGTTGTTAAGTTCATTTCTTACGGATGTTAGTATCACCGTATATATAATAGACTAAGTTAAAAATTGATTTTGAACTGCAAATAAGTTGATTTTGAAGAAAAATATGCCCCTTATACTACTGAAAAACTTAGATCTGCCGAATAGATTATGTAATAGCACACAAATGGTATATAAAAATTCATGCATGTAGATTTATGATACTGGTCAATGTGCTTCTAAGTGCATGTTTATCTCCGAATTCAACTTTCGTCTTTAGAAATTGAAGAATATCCTTTTAAATTTGTGTGAAAATAATTTTCAGTATGTTTATGTGTTACAATTATTATAAATAAAGCACAAGGATAAACATCCTAAATATTTGACTATATTTACCGCAATATATTTTTTGCACGAACAACTATATGTTGCTCTTTCAAGAGGGATATAAATATCTACAACAAGAGTTCTGGTTATGATGGAGCAACCAAAGCATTAAAAGGAAAAACATACACAAAAGAAACATCGTTTACAAACAAGTGTTCGGTAAGATACCATAACATTGAATATTATTAAACTATAATACATAATTATCTAACTAACATGACCAAATTGATCATTTGTGTAAGTTCTGATGGTGTCCATTCATTTGAATTTATGTATTATGCTAATGTATAATATTTTTCGGCATTGAGATGATTGTTGTATATACATAAAATTTCTCTCATTAATTAGATTTTGTTGTTCTTTCATATGAATAAATGTTTAAACCATCATGTGCTATTATTAACGTGTAACGCACGTTTATAGATACTAGTTAACAAAATATGGGAATTAGAATATGTTGTGACAACTATGTCCTTAAAATATATAATCCTTTAACAATCCCTTCATTATTAATTATACAACATAACGATTCATATACGGGAAATTACATGAAAATACACTTGGAGAAATCACTTTTCACCCGCCTTACCCACAAATACGGTTTTCATCCGGTAGCCCACAAACATTAATCAATTTTATGAAAACAAGTCAAACTCACAAATTTCGTCGAACTTCGTCAACTACACCCATAATCACTCCTAAATCAGATTTCGCTTTTTTCTTTCATTTTTATCTTTTCCCTTTTTCCATTTTTATTCTTATTTATTTTTTACTTCCCTCTGTATAGTATTTCCTAAAATTCACAATATCAGGAAGTTGAAGTAAAAAATATATTCATCCTTAAAGTCTATAGA